CCACGCTTCTACTCTCCCTAGCTGTTAAAGGCGCCATCCACGGTGCGTGAAGCTAAGTAGGGACTACAGCTCGGGCCACGATGCCTCAAGAAGAATGGATGGAGAAGTCACAGCAGAAAGTCGGGACACCTCCACTGCTCTCAAGTCACAAGGAGCCCTCCCACCCACAGGGGTGCAAGGGCGGGGCAGACGCCGAGCGAGGACCCCCCGCCAGACGCGACAGCGGGCTTTCCCCAGCTCCGCTTCACTGCTAAGGAGGCGGAAATCCCGGCGGGGGCGGGGCGGGAGGGGCGTGGCATCACAGCCCCGGACGCGCCTTCCGGCCAACCGGATCCCGCTAAGGCGGGGGGTGAACACGGGCTTCACGCCCCCTCGCCGCCGCGCCCTGAAAGCCACACGCCGGGACCCCCTTCCCGTCTCGCACACCCGAGGACCCGAAGCAGGACAGCACGTGGCCCCGCCCACAGGGGAGTAGGGGCGGGGCCCCAGCCGCGGGTCTTTAGCGCGAGCCCGCCCCGCCCCTTTCTCCACCACCGCACGCGCGCCGGCCCCGCCTCTGATCGGCGGGACTAGGGCCCGCCCCTCCGTGCGCACCGGGACTACGCTCTCCTCCCCCTCCCGCAAGGAGTGCGGCTCCGCTCCGCCCCCCACAGCCACGCACGGGAAGCCGAGGTCAGCCCCCCCGAAAAACACACGCCCTCCAGTCCCGGGTTACCCGCCACCCGGTTGCTGGGTGGACCGCGACGCGGCGTGCTCTCACCGCAAAAGCTCCAGCCACTCAGCCTGCGCGTCGCTCCCGGCGTGAGCCTCGCACCCAGCACGGAGGCCCCGGAACGGCGCGGGCACAGGCCCGCAAGAGCGGACTGGCAACCTCCTTTGCGCTCACGAAGCGGTCACAGGCCTGGGTGCCCAGACTGGGAAGGAGGGAGGGAGGGAGGGAAACTCTAAGGGGGGAAGGGGAGGGGGGAAGATGGAGAAACCGTCTCTGCCGCCTCTACCGCCGCGGCCGCTTCTCTGTTACCCGGGAAATCCCGCCCACTCTCCCGGCCCGCCCCGCCGAGGGAAGGCTTAACCTCGCTCCGCCACGGGATATATTACCCATCCGTCAATGGTTGAGCCAATCACCGTGCCGTAAAGACCTACTCCCGCCCTCTTCCCTCGCTGGGAGGGGAGAGCGAGCCGCTCACCTTCTCCACGCCCCTATTGGCGGGGAGAGTCCCTAACTCAACCCCGCCTATTGGAGACTGATTGCCGAATCCCTCCTCCAGGCTCCGATCCTACTGGAGGAATAAGAGTACCTCGTCCCATCTCATTGGAGAGTCTCACATATCCCTCCCCACACCGCCCCAGCCACAGGCCTAACAAATCGGCTCCCGCCTCCGCCGGTCCCCGCATTGGAAGACTACCTTTGCTTCTCTCATAGCCCCAGGAAGGTAAGGAACCAATGTGGGGTAAAAATGTCCTTAAGTGAGGCCGACTCCACCCACTACACTGCTGGGCCAGGCCCCGCCCCCAGCGATCTGATTGGACTATCTTGGCGCCGGTAGAAGCCGCCATTGGACACGGCGCCGGTCCAGGAAGGAGACCATTCCGCCCTGCGCGAGGATGCTGAACCTTAGCAGTCCTTTTGTGGAATGTTTACACTGGAGACTGAAGCTCAGCGTTCCAAGGCCGGGACCGGAGATGGCGCGCAGCTCAGCGGTCGAAACCCGTGGCTTTTGAGATTTATAAAGGAAAAAGGCAGTAGTATTACCACCGTGGAGGATTAACCTAAACAATGACAGAAAGCCTTGTCCTTCCTACCCACTTATTTTTACACTTTCATGGTCTTCTAAACACAGCCATCTGGAGCACTCAGCAGCTACTTTCAGCAACGCCGACTCCAAAATTAAGGTCTGGAGCTCTAATCTGATACAAAAGCCCAGCTATTACTAGCTAGTCACTAGGGCTGGCTGCATACTGTGACACTGGGACAACCTGAATCTGCAGCCCACAGGGGGCGGAGATAACCCAGCGGAGGCCTTTAAATGTCACCGCCTGGGCAAGCCTCCGGAAGGCGGAGCATGAGAAAAAAAAATGTATTCCCTATCGACCGGGTAGATCCAGAGACATTTTAAATTGGAGGAAGAGATGCAGAAAGGCTCACACAGACCACTGTATATAAATAGACCGTGAGTGTGCACTCACATTCAGAAAATGAGTAATAATCCCAGATTGTGTGAAGGATATGTTCTTAACAATGACTGTTCCAAGGGAAGAGCCTGTAATCACAACTGTTCGCGATAGGGGAGGAATACTGTCTGAATTTAGGAACTCTAGGCCAGCCCCTTCAAAAAAAGAAAAAAAAATTGAGAGGGGTATCCATAGCCTTCTTGCCAGAGTGAGTTAATGGGGGTCTCCAAGCCTTCTGGGTAGGAAACAATGCCTGAACATGAAAAGTGTTTTGATCTACCGAGTTCCTTTTATTTATTCACTAGTAAGGCGTGGGCCCGATGCCGACCTTGCTTTGGAGGTTTTCTCTGTGCCACGAGCGGGATTCATATTCCCGCGCTCTAGAGTAAAAGGGGGGAAAACGCTCCCTAGAGTCGAGTGTGTCCCCAAGAGATAAGACACCTGGAACCGTTTCGTAAGCCCAATGCTGCCCTCCTAATCCTGCAGAGACTGCCATAAACAAGTGTTGGCAACAGGTGGGTCTCCCTCCTAGATAGGCTTCATGCCGTGAGGCCATAGTAAAGAGTTGTGAACTCCTAGAGTGGCCGACAGGTGGGAGCAGCCACACCGGTAACCAAGCCAAGCCCTGTTCCACGACAGGGCTCTAAAATAAGAAAACACAGCCAAATCGTCCCAGGATGAAGCAGCACTCCAAACCTGACAGATGCCTATCCTAAACTGAGCTGCCTTGCCCACCAGACTGGGTACCTACCATACAGTGTAGCGCACTCCCACCATGGTATCAACGAACACCCCCGAGTCCTTGCTAGAAATAGGCCTCCCGGACTTCCAGTGACTGCAGAGACCGAGGTATCGTAGATCTTGCCTAAGGTTCCATCACTAGGTTGTCATAATCTTAGATTCCGCCGACTAAGATTCACGATTGCCCCGCACAAGGAATTAAGGATGCGGCCAATGTCCAAGCTTTCTCAAACTTAAATTTAAAAGGAAGTCAAGGGGCACAGAGGAAAACAGCAAAAGTTGAGCGGACCGGAGGGTAGAATTCATTCCCACCCCTCGGTGCAGCAGCCCTGGAGCAATGCTTTCTGGAGCACCAGCGCGATCGTCGGGCTTCACCTCGAGGGCTAGCAGATCTCTAGACTCGGAAGAATCTTTGTGTGCCTCCAAGGCTTTCCCCGCCCCCCCAACTAAGGGCGCGGAGCCGGAGACTTCCGGGCGGGAGGGAAGTTGCAGGGAGCTAGAAGGGCCTCAGCCATGTGCCGAGCGCGCTCACGAGAAAGGGGGGGGCAGGGAGTAGGAGAACGTCCCCTCCAAGCTTGTCCCAGAAAGGGGAAGGCCTATCCAATTCGCCAATCAGAAGCAGGGGCGGGGGCTCGTACTTCACGTAAGCCCCAGGAATCCTCCCTCCGCCCTTCGAAGAAAAAAAATTTTTAGCAACTTAAACTCTAGTCCAACCTCCCGATAGGCGGAGCTCTAGAGAATATCATCCAATGCATACACGAGAAAGGAAAGAGGGACTCGAATCCAACCAGTGAAAGACAAGAGAAGGCGGAGCCTCTGAAGAGCCCGAAGTGGGTGGAAGAGGAAATGTCCCCGCCCCTCTCGGGTCCCCTCCAGCCCGGTTGCACAAGCTCCCTGCAGGAGATAGTAAACAGTCTCGGCCAGGCGACGGAGGCAGTGATGGCCGCGCACTCCGAGGACTGGCCCTGCGCCTCCCCTCCCCGCCTGCACCGCCTCTGGCCGCAGTTTGCTCCGGCGCCCCGCCTCTCGGCCCGCAGCCGCCATCCGGCTGACAGGCGCGCCCCTCCCCGCCCGCTGATGCATTTCCTTTTCCCTATTCCAAGCGTGGAGTCTGTTTTCCCAGTTTCCGACCTTCACTGCCCCTTTCAGGCCACCCCCTCGTGAGCGCGCGCGCGCACAAGGCTGCCCCCACCCCGTATGCGGCCCTGTGGCACGCAGCGGCACCTCGCGGAAGAGGGAGCCCCGGCAGCACACTACTCAGGGAGGGGGAGCAGTCGCCGCCGCCGCGAGGTGGGCGGGGAAGGAGGCAGCTCCATGTTTGCGAGGGGATCAGCTGGGGCCGCGGATTGAACCCGCCGAGTTCCTAGAGCTTTTCTACACTCGGCAAGCGCTCCACGCCGGGTCCCAGCCTAGCCGACCCCCGGCGCAGAATACTTGTTCAATTGCCGTGTTCCGACACACCGGCGGCTCCCAGGCTAGTAGCTGGAACCTCTCCCGCCCCCGGTCTCCTCCGGCAAATACAGCATTGCCCCCGCCCCCAGAGTCCTTAACAACCGCGGGCCCACGGTACCCGCGCCTCCCCAGAGCGCGCCCACGACCCCTCCAAGTTTGCCGGCAGAAACAAACGCTCAGGGCGGCTGCTGCACTCGCCCAACGTGGTTAGCGGAGAAGGACCGCGGGGCCCGGCTTGCTATTAAACTCCAGCGGTCGACCAACTCCGGACACCGTGAGCTCGGTGGGCCCGACTGATGGGGCTACGGCCGCCGCCCCCTGCCGAGACCGCTCGCCGCAACCGGGGCCCTCTTCCCTCTTTTTCTTCTTTATAATATTTTCAAAAATATTTTTAAAGCATTACAAGAGCAGTTGGTCTTCTGCCGGCCTATTCCCCAATGAGCTGCCGAGACCTACCGAAACCGACTGCATGGTAAAATAGATTGGGCGGCGCAGCCGGCGCAAGGGCGACCCAGGCCGGGCCAGCCCCCTCCCCACCGCTCCAGCCCGGCTTGGAAACACACTACGAGCGGGCGGCGCCAAGCGCTCTCCTTCCTGGCCTGCCCCTAGCTTACCTCGACCGCGGGACTCCGAGCCTCCCCGATGCTCTGTCTTGGGGGCCGCGGCACTCACACAGATCTAGTGCAGTCAAAGCAAGCGGCCCAAGAACTAGCCCCCCAAAATACCGAAATTGGGGAGACCAAATTAAAAGCAGCTGTTTAACATACCTCCGGAACCAGACGAGGAGTCCTGAATGGGAGGGAACGCCCCCCACTAGCCATTGGCTTGCCTGCGCACACGTCAGTCCCACTGGATCCGCCTCCTTTCCCCGCCCCTTCCCCTTCATTGATCGCCCATTGCCTCCACAAAAATAAAAATAAATAATTAAACTATCCACGAGTAAGAGTCGCCTCCAAAGCAGAGACTATTACATCTCCCACACCGCCACTTTGAGTTTTTCGAGGACTTCGAACTAGACCTTTTGGGATTCGGAGTTCCGCAGGATGGAAGCTAAAGGAGGTGCATCTTAACTACCCGGCCCCAGTTTCCTCCACACACACAAGCCATTTGGAGCTGGGTCAGGAGAAACCTGTAACAGTCTGTGGCCCTACCACTTGGACGCATCAGATCTCAGAAGTTAAGCAAGGTCCGGTTTGGTTAACACTCGGTTGGATTAGCGGTAAGTAGCGACTGGCTGCAACGTCTAGACTTTCCTGGCTGTTTGACTTAAACGTGTGTTCAGTCTACATTGTTAGGTGCCTTTCAGCTATGAAATCCAAAAGCCTGGAAAACTGGCACTTCTCTGAGCCGCTATGGGGTGCGAACCAGATAGTTCACTCTGTCTGCTATCTAGTGCAATTTTAAACTGGCTGGAATATCACTCTAGCCCCTCCCACTTATCGGTCTGTATCCCCCCCCCCCGCCCCCGTGTGTGTGTGTGTTTGTACACGTACGTAGATCCACAGTCATTCCAACATGGGTAATTCGTTTAGCTAGCAGCTGAATGGATCCTACGAGAAGTCTGAACAGAGTCCCAACAGGCAACATGGGAGGCACAGAGGCTGTTGTACTGGTGAGTTTACAGGCAACAAAGGTGCATCGTGGGTCGGGGGATAAATTGGGGAAAGCAATGGCAAATTCCCCGCCCCCTTCATCACCTAATCCAGAAGAGTCTCCTCACTTTCAACAGCCCCCCTCCTTTGCTATTTACCAAGAACATATTTGTTCAAAAGCGCTGAGCGGAAAGCACAGAGTGTGAGCAGGAAACTGTTTTGTTGTTGCTGTCGTGTCCTTTTGCTTGTTTTGGAGACGGGATGTCATGTAGCCCAGATTGATCTCAAGCTCAGAGCAGATGACATCCTCTGCTCCAGCTCCCCAAGTACTAGGATTATAGCTGTGTGTGGATTATCACGTGGTTCTGGAAATGAAACCCAGTACTTCATACATGCTAGGCAAGCACTCTTCCAATTGAACTACAGCCCAGCCCCCAAGAACCACTTGTTTGGAGGTCACTGAAGAAAGGGAGTTAGTTTGGGTATCAGGTAGGATATGAACAGGAGAGGATCCTTCTGCCAGACTATTCCAGCAACCTAGTTATAAATTTATAAGAACTTTACCACACTTGATATGGTGATAAATGCCTGTCATCTTGTCAGTTGGGAGGGAAAAGGAATAAGACCTTGAGTCTAAAGCCAGCCTAGGCTACATAGTGGATCCCATCTCAAAGAGAGTTATACTTGAGAAAAATCCCAAGGAAGAGGAGATAGCTGGCTCAGTGCAGGTAATAGGAGAGGTAGCCAGTGGCCTTCTGTGGGTACTAGGACAAAGAGGGATGGCATAGCCAGTGTTGTGCTCAGGTAAATCTCTTCCTAGTTTGGGGCTTCAGTTCCCAGAAAAATGAGGGAGACCATGGGTATACAGAGAAGGGGTCCTTAAAGATAATGTAAGCATCCTTCCCTGACTGGAGTCCATGAGGGAAGCTGTCACTGAGGGAGACAGATTTAGGAAGGTCAATGGTCATTCCACAGGAACTAGAATGTCCCATGTAGCTGGAGAGAGCTGTGGAGTAGGAAAGGCTAGGAAGTGAGGACAGTGGGTTCAGTGTGAGGCCCGACAGCGTCATGAAAGTCGGCACTCATCCTGGCCAGGACGAGGATCTACTTCTAGCTGAAGGCATAAGCAGATGCTGTGTGCATGAGTTGAGGCACTACAGTGAGAACACGAGTCAGAAATGCTGAGTCCCATTCATGGCGGCTCCCATCGGCTCCATCCCCATCTGTGGCTCAGCCTTCTCTAAGGATAAGAATTCTTTCCCCGTTATCCGGTCAATACAGTTATCACCTCGTAAAGTTGCCGAATCTCAGCAGAGGCCAGCATCCTAGGCGTTTGACTATTATCCTGAACAGCAAGTGGCATGCTGTAGATACTTATTTTTTGTGTGCACATATGTGTGTGCGTGCACACACATGCATATGTGTACCAGTGTGTGCACCCATAGAGTATTGTGTGCACCAATGCATATTTGAAGGATGTCAAGTGTCCTGCTACCAACCCCTGCCTTATTCCCTTGAGACAAGGTCTTTCCTGAATCCAGAGTTAGGCTGCTGGTCAGCAAGTTCCAGTGATCCTCCTGCCTCCCCATCTGCTACTCCCCAACTCTTGGGTTACAGGTACATATGTAAAAAACCATACTGGGCTTTTTACGTGGGAGCTGGGAAGTTTAATTTGGGTCCTTATGCTTAAGCAACAAGAGTTCTTACCCACTGAGCTACGTCTCCATCCTCATTATGGAGAAAGATATGGCTGATACTTACACCTTTCTGAACACTCTTTAGATTGAGATCTTAAGGACAACCACTATATGTAATTCAACTTTGGGGTCTCTGTATTCAGTGCAGTCAAGGGGCACCGGGAGGGACCCAGTAACTGTTTCTGAGTCAGTGTTATGTGGACACTGAACATTTCTTACTCACCCACTAGTAAAGGTACAATTGAATGGATCTGGATGAGTGTCCTCCTTGGAAAAACCACATGCCTGTGTGTGAAATACCCTGCAAGTCTGAGGCCTCAGGCAGTGGAAGGGCTTACCTACATGAAGTAGCCAAGCCAAGTTTATCTGAGTCCAAATCCTGAAATTGTTCCTTCTCCCATATGCTGTTTCTGCAAACACTCAGGCTATGATCCAAGTGGAAGCCTTTGGAGAAAATACCCTGCCTTCCCTCTTCAATAACAACAAACCTTACCTACCTAATTCTAACAGCAGTTTGTCATCAGATAGTTCTAGAAAAAGTGTACTCTAAGAAACAAGATTTGTCTACCAGCTACACAGAGACACCGGTCTTTAACACATGATGTATATACTTGAAACTGTCACTCCAGAACTTTCTGTCTATTTCATGGACAGGAGATAGGCGCACTCTTGTTCACAAAAAGGAACTCACTCACAGATCGGTGTCTCTGGCCCACCTTCTCTTCCCCACTGCTGGAGGTAAAAGCATCTGTCACCCATATTGACTTCAATGGGTGCTGGAAATCAAACTTGAGTCTCCATCTTGTGTGGCAAAAACTGGTTTGTTTGGTTTTGTTTGTTTTGTTTTGAGGCAGGGTTGCACATACACCAGGCTGGCGTGGAGTTCATGATGATCTTGCCCAGGCCTCCTGAGTCCCCAACAGTAGCAATGTAAATGTCAACATTGTGCTTAGCTCTTTTTAACTTTAAAAAAACTTTGAAGCAGGCTCTTGCTAGCTACTTTCTGGACTTTGTGCCTCCTCTGCTTGTGATCTTCCTGCCTTCAGATTCCATTAGGGCTGCAGTCAGTGACTGCTGACAGAGCTGATCACCATTCCCACCTCAGCACGCTCCAGGAGGAGACTGAGCTCTCCGCCTGCACCCCAAGGCTTTGAGGGTTTTGAGATAAGCTCTCTCAAACCCCAGGCTGGTCTAGAACTAGACAGAGATGTCCTTGAACTTTTGATCCTTCTGCCTGTCCTCTAGATGGAGGAGGGAAACCCTCAAAACTATTGATCAAAACCTGTTTAACCACTTCCTAGCTAGATTATTTTATTTTGTTTTATTTTATTTTGTTTTTTCCGAGACAGGGTTTCTCTGTGTAGCCCTGGCTGTCCTGGAACTCACTCTGTAGACCAGGCTGGCCTCGAATTCAGAAATCCGCCTGCCTCTGCCTCCCAAGTGCTGGGATTAAAGGCGTGTACCACCACTGCCCGGCCCTAGCTAGATAATTTAAGCAAATTGTTTATCTGCTGATTAGTAAGATTCTATACTACATTGGACTTCTGGAAAGTTTAAAATAAATATGCCTAGCATACAGTCAAGAATCCTTCCCTTTTTCTTGCTTTCTCAAAGCTCCATACTCTTCTCCTGGCCATTTAAATGCAAAGTCCCTGGCCTTGCAGACCTCAAAGGAAAACTCCTATCTCTAGCTAACTACCGACCTTCAATGGCATGGACTGCATTATCTCTTATTGGAAAGTTGGAATTCTTTTAGTGAGATTGAAGACTGACATTACTGTACCTGGAAACGTCTTCTCCTCACTGAGCACTAGTTGACCCCTCAGGGTCATGACTATTCTAAATCAGAAAAACAGCTGTAAAAATAGTATATCCCCCCCCCCAGATAATCTGGCATTGTTTTACTGTAATAACAGGTTCCTCTATTCAAATAAAATCTGAATGAGAAACCCACTATGGAAGAGATAGAGGTGTAGTCTGTGTAGAGGTGAAGTGGCCTGAGCACTGTCCACGTCCCTTCCATGTTCACGCCTCCCAGCAGCCCCTGTGGGGTGTGTATTTAATTCAGGAAAGCAATGAAAAGACTCCACAAGATGAAACTCTTGAGCTTTGTTCTGTTCTGAATCTGGCCAGACTTGAAGGTTTTAAAACAAAACTCTACAGTGGCTTATAAAACCACTAGACTTCAATATGGTATATTGATAAGTACAGGGAAGTCAGTCTAAAGTGAGGGGGCCTTTAGTGACTCTAGTCATCAAGTCCCAGAAGCCATCAGGAACATATTAACTACTTTAAATGGTTAGGAAAGCCCCATAGCTCCCACCCTGTACCTATTTCCAAGGCCTTAGCCTAATGCCAAGTTCAACTGAACTAGGAGGAAGGCACTATGGAGGCTGTGGGTAAAAGTAGAGGGAGATTAAACAACATCTCAAGTGCTAGATTCCTATCTGTAGAGAAGAACTCAAGTCTCCTCTGCTCAGATAAGCACAGTGTAAAACCCTGTTTGAGAGCTAAGCCTGGCCTCCTGGCTGGTGGACCTTCTACTCCTTCCTGCCTAACTGTGGCCAGTGAACTGATACCTAGGCCCAAGACAAATCTAAGACATAAATTAGGAGTCCTGAGATGCTAAGTTAGTTCCTTAGTTCTCAGACATCTACTGGGCCAAGGGGAGCAACAAGAAAGACAAGGTGGAAAACAAGAATGGACTCAAAATGATTCTCTGACCACCACATGTGCACCATGGCAGACAGGTATCCATGTACATTAGTGTACTAAGTAACTTTTTAAAAATTAAAGGGTTTAGCTGGGCAGTGGTGGTGCATGCGTTCAATTCCAGCTTTTAATTCACTTATGAGGAGAGGCAGGCAGATTTCTATGAGTTCAAAGCCAGCCTGGTACACAGAGCATGTTCCAAGACAGGTTAGGCCTATGTAGAGAAACCCTGTAGAAAAAAAACAATGAATAAATAATAAAAAAACTTAAAAACCACCAAAATTTGAAACAAAATTAAACTAAGAAAGATAGCACTGTATACTAGCAGATGGGGAAAACTATGGAACTCTTTTCTCAGGATTTTACTGAATGTTCAGGAAATACCATTGGCTGTGCCCAGAACTAGAGATATGAGTTAAATAATCATTTGAATGCCTGGGTCATCCTATATTCACTCAACCACCGAGTGGGTAGGCCCAGGAATTTGCACCTAAGAACTCCAGCACAACTTTGAATTGAGTAATTTACAGGACAAAGGTACAGCACATCGTGAACAAGTGACCAAGTGATGGTCCTGAATTACCTCTTCCAGGTGCTTTTTGATTGTTAATGTTGTTTCCCGTGTATTTCACCAACCCTAAGTATTTCTGTAATCTACTTTCAAATCTCAGCATAATCGCTCTGATTTCAAATTTCTGTCTCAATCTGCTACCTTTTTTTATTTTTTAATTTTAGACAGTGTCTCTTGTACCCCAGGCTGGGCTCCTACAACTGTTATAGCCAACACTGGTCTTGAAGTCCTGACCCTCCTGTCTCTTCCTTTCCAATAATGAGATCACAGTCACATTCCACCACGTCCAGCAGTTTAGTCTTTGGGTAAGATAAGAACATCAAGAATAATGTGCTGGCCGGGCGGTGGTGGCGCACGCCTTTAATCCCTGGGAGGCAGAGGCAGGCGGATTTCTGAGTTTGAGGCCAGCCTGGTCTACAGAGTGAGTTCCAGGACAGCCAGGGCTACACAGAGAAACCCTGTCTCAAAAAAACAAAAACAAACAAACAAAACAAAACAAAAAAAGAATAATGTGCTGGCAGACGAAGAAACAGATCCTTGGGTTCTCGGGATACAGGTCCACAGCCATAGCAAATTAACTCTGGTATTTCCAATGTTTTCTTCTATCAGTGCCTAGTTTCAAGTAGTTGTTGAGAGTGAATGAGTTCATATTTATAGAGTATTCTGTACAGGACCTAGAGTGTGAATTTCCACTAACTGTTTGCTATTACTGTTATTTATGACACCCTGGTATTTGCATATTGTGGGCCAAGCTAGTCCAATGGGGCAGCTTGTCACTGGCTATCAGGTAGAAGGCATGTGATGTGAAGAGTATTCCTTCAGGGCCAATGCTGATTCCACGCAGAGAACTAGCAGAGCAGTATCTGTGCGGTTCTTCTGGAAGCACGAACCCTCTGGAACTATGCAAACCTGAGGACAGGGTGTGAGATCCCCATCTGGGAGAATGTCACTAATCCTGTGGTCTCTCTAGTCTACTGCAAGGAACAAGGATTCAATGTCAGTGGAACAGGGCTCAATGTTAGTTTACCTAAGCTGGAAGAAGCAGCCTCTGGGAGATTGAGATAGAATTGTCTTGAGTACAAGGACAGCCTAGGCTACATGGTAAGGTCCTGTCTCAAGCAAGCAAACAAACAAAACATACACAAACAAAACAAAAAATAAACCATCCTAGAATTTCAAAACCAATTATAATCTAAAAGGAGAACAGCAGTAACAACAAGAAAAGCCCCAAGAGTCTCCAAAGATAAGCACCATTCTGTTTCTGATGCTGCCAAGAGTCTGCAGACTTGATAAGCAGATCAACTTGGGTTATAGTTTTAAAGCAAATCACTGTATTTCCCTGGACCTCACCTTTCTCATTCACACAGAATTAGGTGAAGGACGCCCAGGGTGGGGGCACATGTGTGTAATTCCAGCACTGGAGAAATGGGAGACACGCATGTAGAAAGGACAGGGGATATTCATTAGGACTGTGCAGTTTCAATGAAGTGACATAAGGGACAAAGCACTCAGCACTTAGCTTGTTATAGCAGACACAAACTGCACAAACGGGCCACTCAGAACTGCGCCTCGGCTACTGAAGTTCTGTATCTCCTCCACCCCAGGCCTCCCCATCTGTCCAGAACCAACTCCCGGACTCCCTCCTCACCTTCCCATGAATTGATGAAACTAAAAGGGTTTAATCATGTTGGTATATTTATAGGTAAATACAAAACTGTATCACTATAAGATATTGAATATGAACATTACAATTATTTACTGAATCTGACTCAGTCCATTGATGTTAAATACAAAATGAAATGATTGTAAAAAATAAGAATATACACATTCAAAGATCTTATTACAGTATAAAATTATTGAGCTCTGACCAGCTGCCAACCTCATCTTCTAGAGTAAGGGAAGATCTAGGGGTTCTGTAGGGTTTTGTAGGACACAGTGTTGGGAACTCTTCATTCCATTCCTGGTGAGTCAGACTGGGGAAAGACAGGAGCAAGTTGTATGGGCAGGGGACTAGCGATTACAAGGAACGACCTCATCCAGCCAAGGGGACTATGCTTTATAGTGACCCAGACCCATCCAAGGGGACAATGCTTTATAGTGACCCAGAACCATCTGGTTTGTGGTCCTGGATCTGGCAGGCTGGCAGGCAGGGAGAGCTGGGCATCTCAGTAGACAAGAGTTGCATAAAGAAAGTTATCTTCCAACACAAGAAAAAGAGGCCCCAGTTTGTCCTTTATTCTTTTTAAAACTTCGTACCGATTACTTTGGGCTCTGGCAGCTCTGGAAATTCGTTTCTAGCCTTGGTCCCCATCACTGGGGTCATAAGACAGAGTCTGGAATCACAGTGGAGGTCTGTTCCCCAAATCAGCAAAGAAAACAGAATTTGTTAAATGAAGGACACCCATGCTAAAATGAACCAGTGTTACCTTACGTCAGTATTTTTGGCTCCAACAAGCATAGAGTCCAGAGGGAAAGATGTCATTAAGGAAGAGGGCCTGTGGCCCAGGAAAAAAGTATGTGTTGTCCTCTATCACTCTGCTGTCTGACAACATGAGTCACGAGCCCCAACCCCAGCCAGTCGAGAACAATCGTCAGGGTCCAAGAAGCAAGGAATGCTGAACTGCAGCATAAAGCCCCAGAAACTTCTACAAAGAGTATCTGTGTGTATATGTATTTATAGTATACGGCCATACTTATCACATACAGTATATATTATGTACACACATACATATGGGTCCATACACGTAAGTGCACATACGTACACGCACACACACAGAATGACAGAAAAGACTGGAATACACGTCCTATGTATAAACGTGCTTGGCACTCGGGACATTCTCTAGTATATGTAACTTGGTCAAGCTTTCTGGGTAGGAAGGTGAATGCTCACCAAACCTCCCTGTCAAATCATAGCAAAGGGAAGGAGATGTCCAGAAGAATGGCATTGGGAGATGGGGCTGGGGGGAGGGTTCCTTCCCCACTTACCTCAGGGACCCTGGCAAATATCAATAGCCACAATTTGGTTTTGATAAGGCACAGTTCGATAGCAGGTGCTAGGAATTAAGAACACATTGCTGCTGGCCCTTTCTAGTGGCAAGGTCACCACATTTATCTAGCCAAAGGGAAAGGCTGCCTTGCGTGCACGAGTGCGCTGGGAGACACAAGAAAGAGGTTGATCCATGGTTTCAGCATAACTGATGGCAACCTATAGGCTCAGCAGTGTCCAGGGTAGTTTAAGGAAGGCTGACCAGCAGGTGGGAACTTGTGGAACAGTTATTGACCATCCATGGCCAACAGGCTATGACCAGAGGGAACCATGCCTTCCCGCTCTGCAAACTCCAAAATGGCCTTGTAGCAAAAGTAGTACTGCTCAGGGGTCTGGATGCTGAAGGCCCTCTGGGTCCTCATGCGTGACACTGTCTGGAACACATTAAGGGTGCCAAGCTCCTCCAGCTGTGCCAGGCAGATGTCCAGTGAGCAGAAGGTACCTGAAGAGGGAAGGAATGATAACATGAGTGTACCTCTCCTGTTTTCTTCCTTTTACCAAATCATCAGGCAAGACTGAGTACAGAACTCAAAGGCACAGGGTCGAACAGCAGCAGGACTCACACCTAAAAGGACTTGGAAGGAGTATCACAGGGCATGCTAAAGGCCAGGAAAGGAGGGGCTCCTGTCTCTCAGGACATACACGAGGAGAGCAGAAGAATAAGTAGGTAGGTGACACAGAGGAAGAAGTTACTGCTTCTTCAATACCAGACAGTGCAACTGTACTTCTACACCCAATTTCCAGGCCTTGTACCTCTCTAAAGGTCTAACACAAACACAGTCCTGATTATTCCCCTAAAGGGACCTCTGAACTAGTAAAGCCAGCAGCTCATACAGCACACATAATGAAGAACACAGAAGCCAAGCAGAATAGCACAAACTTATAATCCCATTATTTGGGAGGCTAAAACAAGAGGATTGCTGGGAATTCCAGGTCAGATTGGACTTCATAGTAAGACCTGGTCTCAAAAACACACAGCAACAAAGGGGTTGGGGAATAAGACCAGCACAGGGAGAAGAAGCCTCTAAGAGAGGGCTAGCTGATCTCTCTGGTGACCACATTCATGGTGTGACAGAGTTCACAAAGTCCAAAGACAATGATGAACAACCCCTAAAACTTGGTTTATAAAGCATTTATTTTGGCAAGTGACATCTTGAATGAGTTCTTTCTCTAATCACAGACATGCCCTAAGCATTTAGTTCCTCCTCTCCACCCCCACCGCCTTTGGACACATAATCAGACTAAGGTACAGTACCTGTCCTGCCGATGCCAGCACTGCAGTGGACCACAATAGGTGGCTCAGGGCCCTGCCCTTTGGAGCGAGCTCCCAGGCTACCTACAGCCATGCTCTGCTGATTCCTGACCACTCTCAGGAAGTCAATGAGGGAAGCAGCTGAGGAAGGGACACCATAATCTGGCCAGCTTAGGAACTGGAAGTGGGTCACCTGGCGTTTCTGCCGCTCCTTATATGAAAAAGAAACCAGAGTTAATGCCATCACAGCTGTCTACTCTGCCTACCCTTGGCCTTCCAGATTCTTCAGGCCTTAAGAGGCTCCTGTCAACTTCCGCTGTCACCTTTCTTCACAATTGCTTTTCTACTTCAAACCCAAAGGAAAGGCTACACGGTTCAGAAGGCAAATTGCTATATTATAGGATCCATATTTCTTGTTTATTATTATTATTATTAAATTATTATTATTGTATATTACTGTTTGTTATTAAAAACAAGACAAGAAATTTGCCATAGAAGTGTTCCTCTGCAGGGAAAGACACACCGACTAGTTGTCCAGTGCCAAAAAGTCATCTCTAGAACATAATACAAGCAATTATATGAATATAACAGAATATATTTACAAATATATATATATATAGATGTAAAAAAATATATATATATACATGCAATAACAATTAGTAATAGAAATTATACATTTGAAAGATCAAGTAGGGTTCAGAGGGAGAGGAAAGAGAGAAATGTTACAATTAAATTATAATATCAAAAGAAATATTCTGCTGGGCGGTGGTGGCGCATGCCTTTAATCCCAGTACTTGGGAGGCAGAGGCAGGCGGATTTCTGAGTTCAAGGCCAGCCTGGTCTACAGAGTGAGTTCCAGGACAGCCAGGGCTACACAGAGAAACCCTGTCTCGAAAAACTAAAAAACAAACAAACAAAAAACAAAAGAAATCTTCCTTAAAAAAATTATTGCCGGGCTGGAGAGATGGCTCAGTGGTTAAGAGCACTGACTGCTCTGCCAGAGGTCCTGAGTTCAATTCCCAGCAACCACATGGTGGCTCACAACCATCTGCAATGGGATCTGATGCCATCTTCTAATGTATTCTGAAGATAGTTGCAGTGTGTACTCATATAAATAAATAAAAATCTTTAAAAAAAATTATTGCCAGGCATGGTAGGCCACACCTCTAAACTGCAGCATTCAGGAAGTAGTGGCAGGCAGATGGGTCTCTATGAGTTTGGGCCCAGCCAGGTCTAACTATATAGTGAGACCCAGGCCAGCCAAGGGTACATATTGAGAGAAACTGTCTCAAAATAAAACAGTAACATATTTACTTACTTACTGAATTACTTAGTTTGTGAGTGCCCAGACACCTTTGTTCATGAGTGCACAAGCATGAGTACACATGCAGGCCAGAGAAGGATATCAGGTGGCCTCCTCTATCACATGCCACCTACTCTTTTGAAGCAGGGTCTCTCCCTGAAATTGGAGCCAGGTATCCTCAACTAGGCCATAACCAGAAAGCCTAGTGAGTCTCTTCCCTCTGCCTCTATCAGATCTGATGACAGGCATGGACAGGCCCCCAGCTGGACACATAGGTACTGCAACCTGAACTCTCATCCTCATGATTGAGTAGCAAGTACTCTGACAGCTGACCCATCATCTCTCCAGCGCCTGACTGTAGTTTTTCTGAGACAAGATCCATATTATGTAATCCAAGCTATTTCCTACTTGTCACCCTACCTCAGCCTCCTGCGCTGAAGGACAGTAAGCAGTAAGCATGGGTTAGCATCCAGATGCCCAATGTTGAAATTTTTTATTTCTCTTTAATGCCACTCGTTTTTTGTTTTTTAAGAGCTATTTATTTTATGTATATGAGTACACTGTAGCCGTCTTTAGACACACCAGAAGAGAGCATCGGATCCCATTACAGATGGTTGTGAGCCACCATGTGGTTGCTGGGAATTGAACTCAGGACCTCTGGAAGAGTAATCAGTGCTCTTAACTGCTGAGCCATCTCTCCAGCCCCTTAATGACATTCTTATACTGAGGTGATAACTTTATTAGTTCTGAGTTGAGTCTTTTTTTTCTTTTGGAAAGGGGAGGTGTCTCTATTTGGAGCTTACAATGTGGACCAGGCTGGCCTTGAACTCATAGAGATCAGCTTGCCTCTGTGTCTGGAATGCTAGGATTAAAGGCGGACACTACATACCTGGCTTCTCATTGAACCTTCATCTTGTTTTCAGGAAAAACAAGAGCTGTTTATTACCTCCCTAGAATCCTGCCCATTCCCCCTAGACAGGGGCTCACTGTGTCGGCCCGGATGGCCCAGAACTCACGCCATAGAGCAGGCTGACCTGGACCTCATAGGTATCCACTTCTTGCTGAGTGCTGAGATTAGAGGTGTGCATCACCACCCTCGATGAGAATCCCTTTAAAGGAACAGTCCTAATTTTAAAAGCGTGAGAAAATAGAAACCTGCATTTACCTCTGTGTTATGAATTTCTAGAGTTGTTTTCTTATAATGGTTCATGTTCTCCACTCCTAGATTAGTCACCGTGAGGAAGCCAAATCGGATCCGAGAGTCTTTTTCTAAAGGCCAGTACTGGCCACATTTTCTCCTGCCGCCTTCCTCAAAGCTGAAGACATACAGAGCAAGTTAAGCCTTCGCTCTTCAACCAGCTGTAAGCCGCTTCCCACCACAAACTTCTGAGCTCCTAGGCAGCACTGTGACCTGCACTGCTCCTAAAGTATAGCACTGATTCTTAGCAGAAAAAGGACATCTCTTCATTCTAAACAGGCGTTAAAACAGCTAATGTTCTTCCATGTATACATTTAGCAGACATGCATTGTACATTCACTGCATCATCTGGCTCCTTCCTGATGCCCGGTTGTATTTCTCACATATAGTAACAAGACCACAGTGAGGCCTAGACCTTAGTCACTGTTCAGTCTCTTATCCACGAAGGGCCCTTGGCTGGAATGGGAAAGACACAATTCCTGGATGTAACTAAGTCCAGATACTTCATCTCACAACTTTTGAGTGGCCTCAGAGAACTCTGAGGTGGTACTTCTCCCAACTACAGATGGCTATTGACAATGCCCTGAGGAAGGGAACTGAGCAAACATCTTTTTTTCTTCCCCATCTGAAATAGGTTATAATTAATGATGAAACTAATAAAATATGAAATTCCTTAAATTTGGCTGAATTGCCAAATTTCAAAACCAACCCTTTATTCAGAACTTCCTGCCTTATGTTTCAACCCTCTTTTTTCTGCTCCCTTACAGGCAGCAATATGAATGAACAGAAGAGCAGTCAAAAGAAGGAGGAAATGGAAAGCAAAGGGAACTGGTAATGCAGCAGCCAGAACAGCACCTTTCCCATTTAGACAAGGTGAGCTGCTGGCATTTCCCAGCATGTCCTTTAGTGAATACAGCCAGACCCCAGAATATGCTTTAACTAGCACTGGGTCCCTATAATTACGGATTAACTATCTATCTGCAAGGCTGACATGACCTCCAGCATGTCCTAGTATGTTAACTAGAAATGTGCATGGCTTTCCTAACCTTCGAGCTTAGGGCAGGGAATCAATGGATAAAAGTAGACTAACTCACCGGGTGGTCATGACAATCACCAAAACTTTTTGCTCCCAAACCATGAGCCAGAAGTCACGATAGGTGTTCTCCAGAGGACCTGGAATGACAGGAGGGAGAGCAGGCCTTTAGAAGCATGTCTGGTTTTCTAGACTTGTCTTCTAAATGGAATCTCTGAAGCACAGACTGAACCAGGCTCTCATACAGACTCAGACTCACTATGTAGTCCAGCATGACCTTGAACTCCTGTTCCTCGGGTCTCCTTTTCCCAAGCACTATTCATATGAGCCTTGCCTTGTCTCTCCTTAGTCAGAGAGGTCCTTGAAACAACCATGTCATCTCTGTATGGGTGAGTATTAAAGACACAGAATGACAGGACTGGAGCGATGGCTCAGCGGTTGAAAACGCATGCTGTTCTTACAGTTCAGCTCCCAGCACCTACGTCAGGTGTCTCACCACAGCCTGCAACTCCAGCTTCACGGACCCAACGCCCCCTTCTGGCATCCACAGGGACCTGTATTCACATGCACGTGTCCATACACGAACATATATATATGGTTAAGACCACTTGCTGCTCTTGCAAAGGAACTGGATTGAATTCTAAGCACCCACAGGCAGCTAAGATCTTTTATAACGCTAGTTCCAGAGGACCTAATGCCCTCTTCTGGTCTCTGTGGGCACTGCATGCATGTAGTGCGCAGACATTCACAGCAGGCAAAACACCTACACACATAAAATAAAAATAAAATTTTAAAGATAAATAAAATGACTCTGTACCAAAAATAAAAGGAAAGAGAATACTCATATTCGACTCTTGGTTGACATGATCTCATCACAGTGGGTTTTGTTAGTAAGTGTGGGGTGTGATGCCGTGGGCCGGCCTGCAGGGGGCTATCAGAGGACCCAGATGCTAATGTGTATTGTAGAAGGGTTTTCTCCTTCCACCTTACAGGAGATTTGACTCAGGTCACCAGACCTGTAACACAAGCACCTTTACTGTGTAAGTTGTCTCAGTATTTTTAAATCATTTACTCTTTTAAAAAGTTGGAGTCAAGCCGGGAGGTGGTGGCGCATGCCTTTAATCCCAGCACTTGGGAGGCAGAGGCAGGTGGATTTCTGAGTTCGAGGCCAGCCTGGTCTACAGAGTGAGTTCCAGGACAGCCAAGGCTACAGAGAAACCCTGTCTCGAAAAAATGCCCCCCCCCAAAAAAAAAAGTTGGAGTCATTTGGGAGTGACATATGCCTTTAATCCCAGCACTTGGGAGGCCAGGTGGATCTCTGTTGAGTTTGAGACCAACCTGGGCTATGGAGTAAATTCCAGGAAAGCCGAAGCTACACAGAGAAACCCTGTATGGAGGAGAAAGGAGGAGAATATTCTGGAATAACAACAGCACACACAAAGACGGGAAGGGCGGGGAAAGTCACTGGTGGTAACAGATACTTTTAATGCTAGCACTTGGGGAGCAGAAGCAGATGGATCTCCGGGTTCCAGCACAGCCAGGGCTACACTAGGAAACCCTCTCTGGAAAAACCAAACAGAGGAAAGTAGGTGAAGTCTGCTTTAGTGCATCCACTTCCATCCTCTCCCAGAAGTTATCAAGAAAAATCTAGTACTTTTTGCCCTTATAAGTGTCTTTCCTACACCTGCCATCTCTCCCTTGTTTTTTATACGAAATTTCAGCACAACAAGGAATTTATCATTTTTTGGTCTAAGTTACTAACACTATTCTAATGTACTTTTTAAATATTTCTTTCCCCTTACAGTTTAATATTTTTTACAGTACAGACACACAGTATCTCTCTGACTCTGTTCCAGTTGTTCTGCTGTCTCTCTCACCTGCACTGCCACTCCATTTCTCAGGATTTGTTTTATTTTTATGTGTGTGCTTGGATGGAGGAGTGCATGGCAGATGTGTGTGTGTGGGCACCTGCCGAGGTCAGGCTCCCCGGACCAAGGGTCACAAGCGTGACAAGCCTCCCTGTATGGTCACTGGGAACCGGACTCTGGTCCTCTGGAAGAGCAGTACGTGCTGAGCCATCTCTTCAGGCCTTCTATCTATTCTTAAGTGCCCAGTCATCCTCTAGGCTCTCTTTGACGAGGACACTGAAAGGACTTTCTCTCGCCTACGCTCTGGATGGCGCAGCTGGTCCTAAACACTTCAACCATTTAAATTATAGCATATTACATCAGACAGTAGAGAAAATCCCCACATCGGTAAATAGATGTAGAGGATGAATGCCATTTGTGAAGCTGCTCATTATAATTAGAACCTGCACAGTGATGAACACTCCACGACAAATGTCCTTATGATCACTCCTCGGGAGAATCGGGAGAATTCTTTGTTTTCCCAGTGGTTTCAGAGAAGCAGGGTAATATCAAGGGTTAATTTGGACCTGAAAGCTCAACGGTTCCGCTATTTTTGTCAAAGTCTTTAGTAATCACTAACATTTTGTATGTGAATAAATGAAAGCGAGTGTGCAGGTATATGACAGCCATTCACTTATGCACGTGGAAGCCATGGTTAATGCCCAGTGCCCACCTTCGGCTGCCACCCAGAATGCTTGGTTTGCATTTCATGGTAGTTTTGTTTTGTTTTGCTTTGCTTTGTTTTGTTTTGTGATGGGGTCTCTGACTGGAACCTGGTATCTGCCTAGTAGCTACACTGGCTAGACACTGAGTCCCAGGAATCCTCCTAGCTCTGCCTCCCTAGTGCTGGGATAACAAGTGCCTGACACTAGCACCCACATGCTGGCTCACCACCACCCGGTTCCAGATATCCAGGGGATCTGACACTCTTCTAGCATCCATGCTCACTGCATACATGCATGCGGGAAAAACATTTCCACATACAAAACAGAAAATAAAAAATTTAAAACAAAAATAAAGACAAGAAATAGGAGGAATGCCAGCCTAGTCTGTTAAGCTAGGTTCCATCACAACAAAGACAGACAGACATAGAAAGATAGAATAAAGGATCTTATTTCAGAACGGGAGAAATGGCTCAGTGGTTAAGAGCTGTTCTTTCAGAGGACCCAGGTTCAGTTCCTGGCACCCAGAGAATAGCTCACAACCACTCTAACCCCAGAGGGTCTGATGCCCTCTTCTGACTTCTGTAGGCAATGCATATATGTGATACACAGACTTCAATTCAGGCAAAATACCTACACACATAAAATAAAAATAAGAAGGAAAAAAGTTTAAATGATCTTCTCTCAGGACAGGAAAGAGGCAGTGTAGCTTAGTGGTAGAGCTCACACCTAGCGTGCCCAAAGCTCTGGGTTCAATCCCCAAATGCAAAACTGTGAGGGGAGGTCCTAATTTGGGAAACATATCTGTTTCTTCTAGATGTTGTGCCATTAAGGTAAATCCCTCTTTCTACCTACCTTGAATTTTATATCTGGCTTATCAGATATTCTGATTGCTTAGCTGACCCAATCCTAACAATACTTTTGAGGTTTTTTTTTTGGGAGGGGGAGGAGCCTTTTAAGTCTCAGTGTGTAGCACAGGCTGGTCCTGAGTGTACGATATCAGTGTGTAGCACAGGCTGGTCCTGAGTGTATGATCTTATTGCCTCTGTCGCAAGTCTTACCCATACTCAGTCACCGCTAATGGTTTGAATGTGGGAAATAAAGTGGGTATGGGTCAGTGGTCGACATGTGTTTGTCCCGTGCGAGGCCCTGGGTTTGAGCACCAGAACTAGGGGAATCTAGTGCTAAAGTGTGTAAGAGGCACAAGGAGTGGCGTTCGGATGAGTGCGGGCCTTAGAGATGCAAGAAAGGGCTTGTATTGCTTTCTTGATGTTTATATATGGGTAATGCTTAACTGTTGTGATTTATTTAGAAAATGGAGATAAAAATGGTGACACACCCCTTTAATCACACCACTTGAGAGGCAGAGGCAGCCAGATCTCTGGGTAAGAGGCCAACCTGACCTACAAAAAGAGGTACAGCCTAGCCAGGACTACACAGAGAAACAAACCCTGTTTCAAAAAAGGAAAATGAAGATAAAAATCATTCATTAACTCCCAAATCCAGAGACAGTGTTAACATTTTCCACCGTCTCCAAGACCTTTCCTATATGTACTTATAGATAACCCTTTCACCCCACGTGATAGCAGATCTTTCTTTAATGTAGCTTTCCATGGCAAAAACTACAACTCCTGAGACTGCAGAGATACCTCAGCAGTTATGAGTGCTGGCTGCTCTTCCACAGAGCCTGGGTTTGATTCCCAGCACCCACATGATGGCTCACAACTACATGTAACTACAGTTTAAGGAGATCCAACACCTCCTCTAGCCTCTACTGGCACCAGGCATGTACATGTCACAAGGACATACATGGAAGCAAAACACTCATTTGCATAATTTTTATTTATTTTTATTTATTTTTTTTGGGGGGGTTTTTCGAGACAGGGTTTCTCTTTATAGTCCGGGCTGTCCTGGAACTCACTCTGTAGACCAGGCTGGCCTTGAACTCAGAAATCCGCCTGCCTCTGCCTCCCAAGTGCTGGGATTAAAGGCGTGCGCCACCACCGCCCAGCCATAAAATTTAAAATAAAATTGTTTTAAAGTATAGCTCTTACAACTACATTTGCTGGAGGTGTGAATTTTGAATATAATGTAATGCATATTATGTTCTTGGATATTTAGATTCATTCTAAAACCTTAAATATCTGTGTCAGTGTCTGGTTCCACAAAGAAGATATTCTAGTACCCTGCGATGTGAGTGCAAGCTGGGCATGCCTATAATCCCAGTACTTAGAAGGCAGAGGTAGCAACAACATCAGGAATTCACATTCATCCTTAACTGTATAGAGAGTCCTGGGCCAGCCTGGGCCAGCCTAGGCCAGCCTGGGTTACACGAAACCCCTTTTCACAACACAAAACACAAGATATTGGTGAAGCTGAGCATGATGGCTCATCCCTCTAATCTCTACACTTGGAAGGCTGGGGCAGGAGGATAGACTGAGGTACTATTTCAAAACAACAGCAAATACACTAAAGGGTTGTGGGGCTGCAGGGTCTGCAATGTGCTTCCTTTTCGAGTACCTGCATGTGATCTCTAGTACCCAACAACCTTCCAGCCCCATGCCTCTGCTAGCATCACAGATGTGTAACACCACACTCAGCAAGCTCCAAACCAACAGGGCTGTCTGAAAATAAAAACAAAGAAAGAAGCTGGGCTGGTGAGATGGCTCAGTGGTTAAGAACACTGACTGCTTTTCTGGAGGTCCTGAGTTCAAATCCCAGCAACCACATGGTGGCTCACAACCATCTGTAATGAGATCTGATGGCCTCTTATGGGTATCTGAAGACAGCTACAATGTACATATAATAGATAAATAAAAACCTTTAAAAAAAGAAAGAAAGGAAGAAAGAAAGAGAGAAAGAAAGAGAAAGAAAGAAGGAAGGAAGGAAGAAGCTGGGAGAAATGGCTCATTGGATAAAGATTCTTGCTGCACAACCAAGAAGACCTCAGTGAAATCCCAGGAACACACATGGAAAGGCAGGCAAGGTACTTGGGGTAAGGAAGGCTCTCGAGGGCTTGCTTACCACCAGCCTAGCTCCAAGTTCAGTGACAGACCCTGTCTCAAAACAACAAGGTGGAGAATGACAGAGCAGGACATCTGACGCTCTCCTCTAGATCTGCCCACACACAAATAAACATACTCACATGTGTATGTCTGTTCATGTATGTGTGTGTGCATATGTTTGAGCATATACCATGCCACATACATATAACTGGACTTCTATAGACTGATTTACTTTGACACAGAAGAACAAATCCAGAGTTGGCTTGAGAGAGCTTCTGCATCAGACATGGATTCAGATTCTGGTTCGGTTACAAGCTGTGTGTTCAAGGTCACCTAACCAATTGTGTTTCAGTTTGCTTAAATAAACTAAACACACACACACTAAATAAAATTTAAAAACCTATTTTACAGATTTACTTCAATAATCAGAGATTATGCTCTTGAAATATAATACATATTCTTAACAGATGATATTAGAAATATAATAGTATATATGTATATCTCTGTAGACATCAGGCTGCTAGAATTGTGTATGGTAGCTCCTGCATGTGATCCCAGCAATTAGAAGGGGAGGCAGAAGGATCAGGAGTTCAGTCATCCTTCACTACACAGCCAGTATCAAAGAGCCTGAAGTGAGTGAGACCCCGGCCGTGTGTATGTACAGACGTATGCACATGCACCGTTCTCATTCCTCGTCATACCACCATTTACCATTACAGTAGCACCCAATGGAACACCCGTATAACCTTACAGAAAGTCTACACTGTCCCAGTAATTTATCCTTAATACCACTTTCTCCCTGTAGAGGATACATCATAAGGCCCACATTACCTTTAGTTCTTTCTTTAGTAATCTAGAATCTCTTCCTTTTTTCTTTTGTCATGACATTAACATTAAAGAGTTCAAGCCACCTACTTTTTTCTTTTCAAGATAGGGTCTTGCTGTGTAATCCCAGGCTTGCCTCCAAATAACTACTCAGAATAGGCAGGCTTTGAAGTTGGGCTCCTCTGAGTCACGGGATTACAAGCATGTATGAACCGATATGCCTAGCCTGAGCTAGTTTTCATGTCCTGTGATAATCTGGATTTGACTGACCCGTTACTCATAGATTCAGGTTTCTTTTGATTGTTACTGTGTTCCTGAGACGGCAGAGATCAAACGCAAACCTCTAGGCATGTACTGTATCACTAAATCACATTCCCAGCCTGAGTCAGACTTTGACCATGCGCATGTATGATATGTGTGTGTGACTACAGACTGCTAAGTTCTGATGCCCTATACTCTTGGCTTACTAGTGCTGGCAATCAGTAACATAGGTTTAAATTGCTTCTCTTTCTCTTTGTAGTGAGTTTCTAGGCACTTCTGCAATGGAAACTTAAAACTTATCTGTCCTCTTCAACTACCAAACTTTGTGAAAACTAGAATCTTAGTGGTTATAACAAATTTACTTTAAAAATTATGACATCTGAGTTGGTATAGTGGCATCATTAATCCCAGCACTCGAGAAGCAGAGGCAGGTAGATCTCTGAGTTCAAGGGTCTACAGAGCAAGTTCTAGAACAGTCAGGGCTACACAGTGAAACACACACACATCATCATCTTCATCATCATCTTCTTCTTCATCATCATCATCATCTAGATGCTGAGATGCTGGAAAGTTAGCTCAACAGGTAAGAACGCTTGCTGCTCAATCTGAGGACTAGATTTTGGATCTTGGCACCTACATAAAAGCTGGAGATAGGGGCTGGAGAGATAGCTCAGTGGTGAAGAGCACTTGCTGCCTTTCCTGACACAGGTTTGATTCCCAGTACCCATATGGCAGCTTACAACCATCTATAACTCCAGAAGATCTGACACTTCTGGTTTCTACATACACCAGGCATGTATACGGTATGCAGACTTCCATGCAGACCACTCACTCATACACATATCATTAATTAAAATTAAGAGATCACTTGAAATGAGGAACCACACACAGGAGGCACAAGATCAACATGTAAGGCTAAAATAGCTTACCTTGTGTACCAATATAAGCGTTCTTCTGCTTGTAGCCGTCCATGAAACTGGCATTGATGTAATCTGTCTGATAATAAAAGGAAGACATTATTACAAGAGCATGCATTTGCCATTCGCCTCACAGGATAATGTATACGCTGGGTAAATTCAATTCAAGGTGTGGATATTCTCTTCCTGTCAAACAGAAAATGAAAAGTAACAGGGACAATTAAGCATGGGGGTGGATGGTGATATATTTTATTGGTAATGAAAGGGAATAAAGAGGAGGCAGGGATATGGCTGAGGGAAGAGTGCTTCTGTGGGCCACTTGCTTCACTTCAGCAAATGTAGTAGAACAACTGGATGGATGGGTGGATGGACAGATGGATGGGTGGATGGATGGATGGGTGGATGGATGGGTGGATGGACAGATGGATGGATGGATGGATGGATGGATGGACAGATAGATGGACAGATGGATGGATGGACAGATGGATGGACAGATGGATGGACAGATGGATGGACAGATGGATGGATGGACAGATGGACAGATGGATGGATGGATGGATGGATGGATGGATAGATTTCACAATGACCCTTTCATCATACCATACACAAAATTTAAGTCCTACATAGTGTCATGTGCCTGTAATCCCAGCACTGAAGGGACGGAGGCTGGAGGATCACTTCAAGTTCAAGGCCAGTCTTGTCTGCAACGGTAAGTTCTAGCTCCGTGGAGCTACATGGTGAGATCCTCTCTTTAGAAATGAAGACAAAACACCTCAAAATAACGACTCAAAGAAGAACGTGAAGATAAACTCTC